GGGTGGGCAAGACCTCTCCCACAGGGCGCAGGGCCACAGGTAGTACCCAGAACACACTGTAATTACACACGGGACGCCTTCTTGTTTATGGTCTTTGGACAAGATGCTGTGGAAGACGGTAAGGCTGCTGTCATGTTCATTCTGCTTTAAAGGCTCAACCTCAAAAATGACAGCAAAGTCCACACTCATTCCAAAAGGCCCTGAGGCTCCCCCTCTTGTCACCTGCCTCACTCGCTGGCTGAGTCCTGCCACACTGAACTACGGACACCCCAACACTGGAACAGCCAAGCAGTGTATCTTCCTGGGTGGCTTGGGTGCTGTCATGGTCCTGGAAGCCTCGTTTCCAGGATTCCAAACACCAGCAGGGTGGGTGTTTCAGTGGGAAAAGCCTGGTGATCCAATGCTGAATATCAGTCAGTGAAAATTATGTGGATCACAATAGACTACCTTCCCACAGGGGTAGGGAGAGATCGGTGCCCCACGTGGGAAAGCCCTCAGAAAGCCGGAACAATGGAATGGACAGCCCAGGGCTGTCTTTTTGTGCTACAAGAATTCAAGCCAACCACCCGGCAGCGAACAATAAGAAACAGCCAAGCTCATCCCTCGTCCCATGGCTTCCTCGGCGCTTTCTCTGCCAACTGTCTCTTCTGCTGGGCTGGGGTTTCCAGGAGGGCTGGGGGTTTGTCTGCTTGTTATTGCTCCGAGTCCAGCAAGGACACATTCGCTGGCCCTTTCCGACCTTCAATGAATGCTTTATTGAATGAACGAAGGAACGCGTGAGCTTTGACAGAAACGGCGAAGCTAGCAGGCAAAACATAATAGGGGAAGCGACTCAGGACGGAGTGCGCATCTGTGAAATACAGTTAAAACACCAGTCCCTCGCCGAGTGTTGTGGGATGTGTGCGGGACACACCAGACGTCTAATGGCCATTATTATTAAAGCAGAGCAAGTATCTCACGCGAATGCACTCAGGGGTGCGGATCTAAGAGCTCGGGGTACACTGTTTCAGCTTTTCATTTAAAAAGATCATCTACTAATTCAGCGCTGCAGTCTAAAGAGGAGCCCTGGCGGGGCGCACGTAGCAATTGAGCGCGGCTACCCGGAAGCGGCCGCCGCCTCCATCCCAAAGGCCCCCGCGCCGGCGCGGCCGCACCTTCACTCGCTGAGCCTCGTTGATGCACTGCTGGTAGCTGCCGATGTAGAAGGCGTTCTTCACGTCGAATAGCTCGTCCACGTCCCCGGAGCCAGTGGCCGGGCCGGGGGCTGGGGGCGCCATGTTGCTGTCGTCCCGCCCGCTGCTCTTTCCGGAGGGACACGTAGGCCCGAAGCAGGAGCACGCCGGGAAATGGAGTTTATTCTTGCCGAGTGACCGGAAGGAGACCGACAGGAAAGCTCACGTACGTACGGGCACAGGGGCAGGGTAGCAAGGGGGCGTGTCTCGCCGTGCATCCTGGGAGTCGTAGTTTAATCCCGTCTGCGAGCCAATAGGATTGAAGGGAGGCCACAGTAGCGTCGCCTGCACTCCGCGGGGAAGGTGGGACCACACGGGAGGCAGGACCAATGAACGGAGAGCTTTCGAAACGTCATCAGCGCGCGCCGGAAGCACGGCTCCCACACGCCCGGTGGCTGGCGGCGACGATGGCTAGCTTTGCGGAGCTCGGGCTGTCTTCGTGGCTCATGGAACAATGTCGGCAGCTGGGTTTGAAGCAGCCTACGCCCGTCCAGCTCGGCTGCATTCCTGCCATCTTGGAGGGTGAGTGTGCCGGCCGCTTTCCCAGGAGGCGGTCCCGTGTCCCCTTCTCGCAGCCTTAGCCCGTGCCGCTCCCGCGAGGGGAGGGGCAGCCCTGGACTCCTGGGCTGGAGGGCCTCCTGGGGGCCCGAGGCCGACAGGGTGAAGCTGGCTGTGTGGCTGAGTAGCTGTGAGTTGGCAGACACATGACTTAAGGATGGGATGATGCACGGCGAAACGATGGTATCGTGGAAAGTCATCTGGTATGACTCTCGCCTCTCTTTTTATAAACGAGGAGTTTAAAGCTGTCAAAGTTGGTAATAAATCCAGTGCTTAGTGATCCTGTGTCTGCCCTTCTCTCCGCTTTTCTGGCTCAACCCCATTTTGCCGTTAGAAATGTTCAGAGGTGTCAGCAGCCTCCCACCTCCAGAGCTGGCTTTTTATTTAGTAACCAGCTAAACGGTACTGATCGGTGTTTGATTTGGGGGACATCGTGGAGACCAAATAGATCTGACAAGTTTAAGGATTAAAGGGGGCGGGGGGAGAAAGAAAGGATAATAAATTCAGAATGTGGGTTGGAAAAGGGAGTCTGAAGGAGGTGTTGGTTAGCAGTGTGGTGGTCTCCACTGGACGTGGCTTCCACTCCCGTCTTGGGGAAAGCCTCAAGACTCAGTGTCCCACTCTATTAAGTGAGGACACAACAGCCCCTCACTGGTCACGTTCTCACCAGTGTGGCCTGTATGCAAATACATAGGCCAGGAGCTGCTCATTAAGGTTCAGGCTGTGGCGTTGACTGACTCGTGGGCATCAGAGTAGAGCAGGGCTCCAGGGATGGTCAGTGGATGCTTTTTCAGATGTAGATCACTAGGTCTGTCTTCTGGGGTGCCTCAGGGTGCCTTTGGTTAGCAGTTGAGCATGTTCATCTTCGGCATCACCCAGGGACTTCCATTCATGTGAGCTATTTGTGCCTGATGGGACCATTTGTCAGCCCCTGGAGGTGTTGATGCTGGTCTGTCCTCCGCTAGGTCGGGACTGCCTGGGCTGTGCCAAAACCGGCAGTGGCAAGACAGCAGCGTTTGTCCTGCCCATCCTGCAGAAGCTGTCTGAGGATCCCTACGGCATCTTTTGCCTGGTCCTGACGCCCACCAGGTAGGACCCCTGAGTGCCATAAACCAGCATGTTCTTTTGGGACTGTACCTGTGCCATGTGTGAAATGGGGACAGACACCACGGCTGCCTGTTCAGAATGCTGCAGAAAGACCGACCTGGTGTGTGGGGAGGACTCAGTGGAGGCTAGGTCAGGGTGAGCGCTGGCCAGGCGGGGCTGGGCCCAGTCTCAGAGCCCTGGGAGAGCCTAAGGCCTTGGCAGACAAGTATAACCATCAGCAAACTGAGAGGTAAGTTGTGTAATAGGCCTGACTAATGGGGTGTCTTTAAGTTTAACTGGAGAGAGAAGATAAGGAAGGCTTCAGAAAGGGGCGGGTGGGGGGGGGGACCTTGATAGATGACAAGAGCTGACCAAAGGACAAGTGTGGGGAACGGCCTTCCGGAACAGGGAGCTGCCAGGCTGAAAGCAGGGAGGAACAGAGTTGGTTCTGACAGCATGTGGGCAGAAGGAAGGATGGGGACCTGGATGGGCTTGCTGGGCTGTGGGGAGAGAGAGGAGGGACCAACCCTGCTCAGGTCTCCGGTTTGGGTGACCAGGTGGCAAGGCCATTGCTGAGAAAAGGACATGGTACGGATTTGGCTAAGACTGGCAGGAGGGGCCATAGGATGGGGACGGACTCCATACATTCAGCTCAGGTCACAGGGAGACCTAGGTGGGAGACCAGGGGCTCTGGGGGGGGGTGCCCTGTGGTAGCAGTCAGACAAGACCCCCCTCCTGACTTGGCCCACCCTCTGCCAACCACAGGGAGCTGGCCTACCAGATCGCTGAGCAGTTCCGGGTCCTGGGCAAGCCTCTGGGCTTGAAAGACTGTATCATTGTCGGCGGCATGGGTATGGCGAGGCCAGGGAGGCTCTGGGGCGTAGGACCCTGCAGTTCCTCCTCCACCCAGATTCGTACCTAACTACCTCACACCCCCCAACCAGACATGGTGGCTCAGGCGCTGGAGCTCTCTCGGAAGCCACATGTGGTCATTGCCACACCGGGACGCCTGGCCGACCACCTGCGCAGCTCCAACACCTTCAGCATCAAGAAGATCCGCTTCCTGGTGAGTCAGCCCCACCCCCCTGGGGCCTGGGGGCAGCTAAGACCCTGTAGAACATGGGGCAGCTCCAGGCGGGGGCTAGGCAGGAAGGGAGGCTGGGAAGACGAGTGTGAGCCGGGTGGGTGGGCCCGGCCAGGCCTCACCAGCCTCTGCGCAGGTGCTGGATGAGGCGGACCGGCTGCTGGAACAAGGCTGCACGGACTTCACCGCAGACCTGGAGGCCATCCTGGGGGCGGTGCCGGCGCGCAGGCAGACCCTGCTGTTCAGCGCCACGCTGACGGACACACTACGCGAGTTGCAGGGCCTTGCCACCAACCAGCCCTTCTTTTGGGAGGCCCAGGCTCCGTGAGTGCCAGCTGCCGGGGTGGGGGCATGGCCAGTCCCCTCGAAGGACATGAGACCGATGCTGGTGCCCCCGGTGCCCCCAGGGTTCGCACAGTGGAGCAGCTGGACCAGCGCTATCTGCTGGTCCCCGAGAAGGTGAAGGACGCCTACCTGGTGCACCTGATCCAGGGCTTCCAGGATGAGCATGAGGACTGGTCCATCATCATCTTCACCAATACCTGCAAGTGAGTGTGCCTGACCTCCAGGATGACCCCGTGGCTTGCCCCACCCAAGCAGCTGCCTGCCCCTGCAGGCCCTCGGGGCTTCGCTGAGGTCACTGCCCGATGAGCCCACCCAGCCGCTGACCAAGAGGTGGGAGTTCTGAGGTCACTCGAAGGTCACTTGAAAGCCTAGTGATCTGCTTCTGAAAGATCCAAAAACCCAGCTCACTGCCAGCGAGTCGACATTGACTCAGAGCGACTAGATAGGACAGGGCGGCACTGCCCCATGGGTCTCTGACTGCCACTCTATCCGGGAATAGAAAGCGTGGTCTTTCTCCCAAGGTGTGACGGGGGTCTCCAACAGCTGACCCCGCAGTGAGCAGCCCTGCCTGTAATCCCTTCACTACCGAGGCTCCTTCTAAAAGGTCAGGCACTTGGAAACCCTGCGGGGCCTGGCTCCATTCTGACCCCGGGGCTTGCCCCGTGTCACATGGACTTGGCAGCAGCTGGTCAGTTTTGGTTTGTTGCCCTGGCTCCTGTGGCTCCCCCCTGAACCACGAGGGCTGGGCCGTCAGCCATCTGAGGAACCCTGCAGGTGTCAACTGCCTTGCTCGGCCCCCCAGGCCTATCTCCAGTGTGGCTGAGAGCCTGTGGACATTGGCCCCCACACCCAGGGCTATACTGTCACCCTGTTGTCCTCATGTCATAGGAGGACCACCCTCCCATCAGACCCTTAATTCGGTGCTGACCTGGGGTGGGGGAACTTGTCAAGAATCTGAAAGTTAAGGGAAAAGAAATCTTCAGGCTATTTCTGAGCCAGACAGGAGGGCAGAGGTCAGATGGGCCGTGCCATACTGGGTAACTCTCCATGTGGCTATATCCCTCTTAAGATGCTGCTTCCAAGGTGTATCAGTTCCTCAGAACGGAGAAGTCTGGGTGTAAATCAGCTGTCGGGCACGGCGGGATCCAGCAACCTGCAGGGGATTCCCATTGAAGATTCTCCTTTTGCCCTGCCTTCCTGACCCACAACCCCAGCCGAGCTTGCATCCCAGTCAGCAGTGGTCCCAGGATAGCTCCAACCTATCCGAGATCGGGGGCAGGGTTAGCAAAGAGGCTTCTCCGGTGGGTAGGTCTGTGGGGATGGATGGGAAAGGCCGACCAGAACCTTCCTCCCCACCAGGACCTGCCAGATCCTGTGCATGATGCTGCGCAAGTTCAACTTCCCCACGGTGGCGCTGCACTCGATGATGAAACAGGTGCGGTGCCGGGCTGGGGCGCTCTTCCACCTCCCAGTCTGGGTCTCCTGCCATCTGCTGCACCTTGGTCCTAGCGCCTGCCTTCTTGTGATCCCCACGTGGGCAGACCGTCCTGCCCCTGCGTGGTCCTCACCCAGGATTTGCCCACGTGTGACTGAGGAGCTCCCTGACTTGCTCTCCCTGCCCTGCTGCAGAAAGAACGCTTTGCTGCTCTAGCCAAGTTCAAGTCCAGTATCTACCGGATCCTGATCGCAACGGACGTGGCATCTCGGTGAGTGGTCTGTGGGCTGGCTCCACCCCTCTCCAAGCCCTGGCTTCCAGCTCCCCACTGGGCACTGAGCTGCCCTGTCTCTTCCTCCAGGGGCCTGGACATCCCCACCGTGCAGGTGGTCATCAACCACAACACCCCGGGGTTGCCCAAGATCTACATCCATCGAGTGGGCCGCACAGCCCGGGCAGGTAAGACTCTGGCCCCATCTTATCCCCGCTTATTGCCCATCGCGGCTGTGAGTGGATTTCTGTGCCCCAGCCCGTAGGATGCTGCCACACATGTCCCCAAATGCCACTCTACAATGCCATTGAGGTACCCCCACCCCATGTTATTCTGTCTGCTATTCAGCCTACTGGGGAGGGTGTCCCTGGAGATCCCCTCACCCCAAAGCCTCAAGAAGGTCTGAGTTTGGGGGTGGCGAAGGGCAGAGCCCCCTAGGGCTGTTTCAAGAGTCACACAGTTGAACCCCATAAAATCGTTCTTCAGCTGTCAGTGCCAACGGGAGTCGGGGGTTACCACCACCGAGTGGGTGTAAACTCTGAGCATGGGGTTCCAGATGAGGCTCCGGGGCTAAATGCTAATGTAGCTGCAGCTGGGTGCCCAGGCTGCAGGGCCAAGAAGGCACATTTGGGTGGTCACTGGGCTGCCTGCAGAGCCCCACCCGGAGGCCCAGCCAACAGGGACCCCTGACTCTAGACTTGGGCCCTGGCCCTCTGCTGCCCATGTTTCAGTCCAGGCACATAGCAGGTGACTGACTGCGGTGCCTCCACAGGGCGGCAGGGCATGGCCATCACACTGGTGACCCAGTACGACATCCATCTGGTCCACGCCATCGAGGAGCAGATCAGTGAGTTACAGCTGTTGGTGGGCTGGTAGCCGGGCCATCTCGCTGGGCCTCTCCCCATGGGCTGCTGTGACCCCGTCCCTTACCCATCCTCTGCCTGATGGCCCCCCCGAGGCCTCACCACTACTGTACACCTTGTATGCCCCACCACACGGGGAGCTCACTCCCACTGTGGTCCCGCCCCTGCCCTCCAGAGAAGAAGTTGGACGAGTTCTCAGTGGAGGAGGCAGAGGTGCTGCAGATCCTCACGCAGGTCAACGTGGTGCGGCGGGAATGTGAGATTGTGAGTTGGGGTGGAGTTGGGGTGGGGATGGCGAGCTGCTCCCTGGAAGTGGGCCCCTGTGACCATCCTGCCCCTACCCCACCCCACCCCACTCCCCCGTAGAAATTGGAGGCGACCAACTTTGACGAGAAAAAGGAAATCAACAAGCGGAAACAGCTGATCCTGGAGGGGAAGGTGAGACCTGCTGGAGGGCGGGGCCAGGGCTCTGGGCAGGTACCCCACTCACCACCATTTCTGGCCCCCGCTTGCAGGACCCTGACCTGGAGGCCAAGCGTAAGGCCGAGCTGGCCAAGATCAAACAGAAGAACAGGCGCTTCAAGGAGAAGGTGGAGCAGACACTGCACCGGCAGAAGGCTGGCCGGGGGCCAAAGGGGCGCCCTTCCAGGGCCCAGCCAGGGTCACACACTGCCTCGAATACCCAGGGCCAGGCCTGAGGCCACCGAGGCTCCTGCCCACTCAGGGCCCACTGGGACTCTATCCTTGAGCCAAGGGTCTGAGGGGCTTGTTGAGGCACCCAGACCTGTTTCCTCTGGGCACAGCTGTCCCCCAAGTCTGCCTGGAAGCCCATGCCTCTGTCCCTCAGCCCCTGACTAAGCCACAGCTCTGAGATCGGAGCCAGCTCCACACATCATAGCCCTTTGGCCTTGGATTCTCCCTGTCTCGGGGGATCATGGGAGAGTTCACCTCATTTCAATGGGGAGGGCACTCGTGAGCCTCCAGTGTAACATGTCACATGGAGGTGCTCAATAAATGTGCCTTTTGCCATCTTGGCTTGGACTCTGAGTCTGGGCACAGGGAGGAGAGAGTGGTCACCTGCACATTTCAAGTCCCCAGAATCTCCCCACTACCACTGTCTTCTCGCTGTTTACCTGGCCCAGGTCGGCAGATAGACGGTCTTGCTGCCAGATCCAGCCAGTGATGCCCCCCTTCCTCCACCCCCTGGGTGTCCTGATCTGACAGGTCACCCCGAGAACCAGCCGGTGCCCACTGGACACAGCCATATCCTCCACTTCCGTGCCTGCCCACCTGATGCACCTGGGGCTTGTGGCATATGCATACCAACCTATCCTGACAAGAAGCCTGCAGCTTCGCGAGGCTGCCATCCCCTCAGCCTGCATGGACAGCAGTCAAGGCCAAACGGTCTGACAGCCAAGGCCTGAGCCCAACAGGACAGACACCCAGCCATGGAAGTCCCCAAGCTTCCTCCTTGCCACAGGGGGGCTGGCTGAGCACCACAAGTATACCTTGGGTCTGGGGACAGGGGCGGCGACAACAGTTAGGTCTCCACACACCACACAGACACTTGTGTCCACACTTGGAAATGTAATCAGAGTGCCGATGTGCACCCCAGGATTCTAGAAACTACACGAGAAGCTCAGAGACACCCTGGTGGGAGCAGTAAGGGCCAAACTGGGACCCTGCCCTAGTTCCTGCCAAGGCAGTCGGGCCCTGACTCTGCCAGACCACACCCTGGGCATCTCTCCATTCAGAACCAGCCCCGCTGGCCCCCAGCAGCCAGCTCAGGATGTGCCCTCCGCCAGGCGAGCCAGGCCCTCCCGCAGCTCGCTCAGCTCAAACAGCTTGACGTCTAGCAGCTGCGTGGCCCGCGCCACCTCAGCCCTGGCCCGCTCCCGCTCTGCCCGGGCCTCCTCCAGGCTGTGCTCCGACACTCGAAGCTGGTGTTCCAGCTCAGAATTCCGGCTCTCCAGGTCCTGCAAGGAGAGGGCAGGCAGTGGGGCCTCTACCCCAACCTCCATTCCCCTCCCCCTTGGCTCCTCTGGAGTCTGCCTCCTTGGCCTGCTGGTTTCTGGACTGTGCAACTTGGGTCCACCCCAGGGCTTTTGCAAATATTGTTCTGTCCGCCCAAGAGACAACAGCAGGATTTCCTTAACCTCTCCTCCCCAGGATCTGTTGAGGAACACCCAACCTTTGATTCTCCACATGCAAGGCTCACAGATGTACCCCTAAATGGTTCTTGAGTGAAAGTTTGACCCAAAGCCAGGCCATCCAGGTGTTGTCTGCCCTCAGCTTATGATAACTCCCCGGGGGTTTCCAATGACTAACCAGTGGTTCAAACCCATCAGCCACACCACAGAGGAGAGGAGGCTGTCTGCTCCCATGAACCTTTAGTCTCAGAAACATGGGGTCATGAATTCGAATCAGCTCAATGGCAGTGGTGGGATCTTTCTGGAAGTAGACTAACGGGTCTTTTGGGGGTAGATTCAAACCTCCAACCTTGGGGTGGGTACTCAAGTACAAACTGCTTGTGCCACGTGGGCTCTTCAGGCCTGTTCCACGGCTTGGGCTGGAGACGGAATTTCAGGGGGGTCACCCACCCACCTCCACCTGCCGTGGCTCACACACCTGCACCTTCTGCTGGGTCTCTTCACGCTCCCCTATGTCCGGGGTCTCCCGGGATCCCCCTGTCTGGCTCTTGAGTGTCTGGATCTCCTAGAGGGGAGGGGTCACCAGGTTGGCTCTGGTTCTGGCTCCTGGGAAGGAGGTTAGGGAAGGCAAAGCAGGCGGGCACACACCTGGTCCCTGGTTTGTACCAATGCCTCCAGCTGCTCCAGGGACTGGCGCCGTTCCTTCTCGCCAGCCTCAGGAGGCTCCGATGTTGCCTGGCTCTCTAGCTCGGCCACCTGTGCAGGACAGAGTTGAGCTCCCACAGCCCACTCCTCCACCCCCTGACCCAGGGTACCCGCCCTGGTTGGGGCCACCCCAGCCCGCACCTCTATGCACTCGGAGAGGGGTCTGACCAACGCTTTGGGGTGTGGGGTGTGGTCTCAAATCCATCTAATAGAGACTGAGGTCAGAGGACAGGTCCGGCCAGCCCTCAAGTCCAGCCCAGCGGGCGCGCCGTGAGAGGGTGTCTGGGAAGGTCGACGCCCTCACCCGCTGCCGCAGCCGCTCAGCCTCCACCCGCTGGGCCTCCAGCTGCTGCCTCCACTGCGCGGCCGCTGCGTTGGCCTCCCGCAGGGCGCCCGCCAACTTGTTGTTGCTGTCCTGCAGCGCGAAGAACTCGGCCTCCCACTGCACCTCGCCCACCGAGCTGGGGTGGCACAGAAGGGGGTCAGCGGAGGCAGGGTCCTGGGGGAACTGGACCGCAGGTTGCCTAGCTACACTGATGGAGGCGGGCAGAAGCCGGAGGGGGATAGGGGGAGGCTGAGATCAGGGGCGTGGCTTTGGCGGAGACAGAGACCCAGGGGAGCGAGGTGCCGAGACGTTCAGCCCACGTAGGCGTGGACTGGACAGGGCTGTGGCCACAGCTGGAGACTGTCGGACGCGGGAACGGAGCCCGGAGCCAGCTCCTCCCACCGCCCAGGCCACGCCCTCAGCCTGCGACTCCCTCCCCTTTACTCCGCCCGGGCCCCGCCCCTTACGCGCTCGGAACCGCTGCGTTTAGGTTAGCCACGCCCACCGCCGGCCCTCCGGCCCGCCCCTTCTCGAAGTCCCGCCCACAGGCCCCTCACCCCTCCGACAGCATCTTCTTGAGCCGCTCGCGCTCCGCGGGCCCCGGGGCGTCCGCGCTCTGGCTGCGGAACAGTTTCTCGTCGCTGGGGGGGCCGTTGGCACTAACGAGGGGGCTCGGCGGCACCTGCGGGAAGGAACAGGCTGGGTGGTGACTTTAAGCTGATCAAGGCTGGACTAAAGGGGATCCGGGCTATGCTAGTGGGGTCCTTACTGACAGGTCAGGAGACTCAAATGGAGGTGTGGGCCCTGGTTCTCCGCCGCCCCATGGGGCCACGCCCCATGCTTTCCAGGGACCCTGGGCCAGATCCAGGGCTCTGCTGCCCCCTGACTAGTCTACCAACTCCCTGAGGGAAACTCAAGAGTCCCTCTCAATCCATTGATAAGGCCACAATCTGCAACCTCCGCTGTCCTACCCCACGTGAAGCCCTCACAAGCTGAATCCACACTTGACCAGCGCACCTCCCTCCCAGATCACAAACTCCCTGAGGACAGGGTCCAGCCTGTATTTTAACCCTGCACCCCCACAGACACCGCCACACTCCCATGCCCAGCCCTGGCCTACAGTTTGATCAATGAGACATCCGGAGGCTCGGGTCATTGCTCTGTACCCTCCTCAGCCTTTTCAACGGGCAGTTGCAATTCTGTTGAACAACTTGATTGCCCAGGTCCAGAGCACAATCTGAGCTAGTTTCTGTCGCTCGTAGCTGCTGCAGGCCCTCCTTGACCGCAGGCGCGGCTAGACCACTGCTCCTGTGACACCCTCGCCACCGGCCCGGCCCCTGCCCCACCTCTAGTTTTGTATCATCTGTGTGTAATGGCTCCTGAACACTGTTGGGTCTCCCACCTATTGAAGCACCCATGTGGCTTCAGGCCCATGACTCAGGGGCATCTGGACAGGGTGCAGGTACTGACCTGGTGGGAGGCAAGCCCCAGGGCTGGGCTGGTGAGCTCCCCGCCATCCTGAGACTTCTCTCGGGCAAGTCTAGCTGCTTCCTTCACCTCCTGGAACTTCTCTGCAAACTGAAGGGGGAGGGGGGCGAGGGCGGGGGCAGGCAGAATGACAGACAGTCAATCGACAGTGCTCAATCTCCTCCCTCACTCACTGCCGCGCCAGGCCGCCCCCCCCACACACACAGGGTCAGCTCCATCACTCTGGCGATGAGCTTACCAACTGTGCCCCACCTATAAAATTGGAAGTGGGAAGACTTGGAAATGGATATCACAAGGACAGGGTGGGGGTCGTGGCAGGGTGCTCCTTCCAGTTCGTGCCGGTGCACAGCGACCCTGGCGGTCAGAGTAGAACAGCTCCCTGGGGTTTCCGAGACTGTAAATGTGTACACGAGCAGTCTGCCTCATCTTTCTCCCAAGGGGTAGCTGGTGTGTTTGAACTGCTGACTTTGTAGTTAGCAGCCAAACAACTGGGACCCCGGCACCTTCAGGGCTCCTGCATCCCACCCACTACCATCAGTCCATTCAAATTCATGGAGGTCCGTAGGACAGAGTAGGACTGCCCCTGTGGGCTTCTGAGGCTGCCTAGCTTTGTCGAACCAGGAAGCCTCCTCTTTCTCTTGGGGAGTAAGTGGCTGGCGCGTTCAAATTGCTGACCATGCGGTTACCGGTTCAGTGAGTTACCTGCTGTGCCACGGGGGCTCCTTGGGTTCCCACATAGGTGGCATGAAATGCATTGAAGCATCTACCTGGGGAAGAGCCTCCTGATCAGGTTTATTTCAGTGAGAGCCTCCGTTGGTTGCTAATTTGACCTTAACACTCGGGACACTTGTTCCTATCCCTTTATCACTCAAAGGGGGTCCCCGAGAGGCATAAAAGCGAATAAAGCATTTGGCTGCTAACCAAAAGGTTGAGGTACCTTGGAAGACACACAGGTGTCTCCGTGAGTCAGAAGACAACTGAGGGTCCCCAGTTTACAACAACGAGCAAATCTTCCAAGAAGCTGGGCTAGAAGTGGAAGAACGCAGCCTCAAGATGGTGAGGAGACTCATTAGCAACCTGCGAGATGCAGATGACACCAATTTGCTTGCTCAGTGGGGGGGACTTGAAGCGCTTGCTTCACCAGAGACGCAAGTGGACCAAGAGGTAACCTCGTGATAAATGGAGAAAAGACTGACATCGTCAAGGATTTCGTCTTGCTCAGATCCCCAATCGGTGCTTGTGGAAGCAGCAGTCGAGAGATCAAGTGGCACATTTCATCGGGTAAATCTGCTGCACCTCATTACAGGGCTGAAAAGCAAGGCTGTTATTTTGATAACTAAGACACACCTGACCCAATCGCCTTATATGAACTGTGAACATTGGACATTGAATAAGGAAGACCAGAGAATGCGTGCCTTTGAACTGTGGGACGGGCAAAGAAGATGGAGAGTCCCACGGGCTGCCCAACGGACGAACAGGCTGGTCTTGGTAGACGTACAGCTCGAATGCTCCTTAGAGCAAGCATGGCTCGACGTCATCTCACGTACTTTGGACGTGCCATTAGGAGAGGCCAGTCCCCGGAGAAGGACATCGTGGTCAAGTAGAGGGTCAGCAAAAAGAGAACGCCCGTAATGAGATGGATGGACACGGTGGCTGCAACAATGGGCTCAAGCCTGGGACCAATTGTGAGGACGGCGCGGGACCAGGCAGTGCTTTGTCCTGTTCTGCACAGGAACCCCCTGAGTCGGAGGCAGTACCTACCAACAACAGGTGGCAACAGAGAGGCAGGCTCGGAGCTCCAAAATCACGCAGCTTTCCCAGTCTTCCTAGTACGGATGCTTAGGTTTGCGACACTGTGTGGTCAGCAGCTGCACGTTGCTAGTGACCCCAAGTATCCAAACGCACCGTCATCGAGGTAATTCTGACTCACGGCGGCCTTAGAGGAGCGAGTGGAACTGTCCCTGAGGGTTTCTGAGATCAGAAACCTTTCTGGGAGTAACTTTTTACAGGATTTCCATGAGTCAAAATGGACCTGGGTGGAAATGAGTTTATGGGAGTAGAAAGCCTTCTCTTTCCGCCGAGGAGGGGCTGGCGGTTCCAAGCGGCCCAGCTCACACCCACGATGCCACCTGGGCTCCAGTTATTGCTGTTGGAGGCCATCAGTGGTTCTGATCCACAGAGACCCTGTGGACCGGCTCCAGGTAGGGTAGATTAATTAATAGAGTTGCAAACGGGGCAGCTTTTCAGCCGGGAGCAGGACCCATCAT